AAGTAAACACTGTTGAATTAATACTTTATTCCATGTGTGGCACATTAAAATAATGAAATGTTTTATTCACATTCCCTTTTTTTCTATAAAATAATATCTGCTGATGTCTACAGATAGTATCGATTAAAACGGAAGACAGCATTTTGCAAGAAGTATCAGAACATATCAAAGGCACTACAAAATCAAATAATCAGCTTAGAATACAAGATGATGAAACAAATGCCGAAGGGAATATCGAAGTTAATAGCAAAGAAAATCATAAGACAGAGTTGCAAAAGCAGGTCGAGATTGGAGAAATTACTCCATTTGAAGCAGTATTTAAACAGTCAGCTTTTCAGCATAAAGAAGGGTATGATATAAAATGTTCATTTTCTTTTACTTGCAATTTAAGTTAAATTTTGAATGTAACAATTGACAAACCTAGTGTTCAAATAATTCAAATTTTCACAATTAAATTTAATGATTATTTTACCATTATTTTAGGAGTGCCAATAAAAGTTCTCAATTGTTTGATCTTGAGAAGTACTTCAAACAACAAGCTGCTCTTGCTGAACAAAAGAGAAAATTAAAGACTGTATCTAAGACACCTGACAAAGACACGGTACCAATCAAAAAAACAAAATTACTTGATACTGATACAAGAACGAATAAAAAATGTCAAAAATCTAAACACGAGAACGACAAAGATAACACTGTGCAAAGTGTAGACAAGACAGACTCCAATGAAGCAAATGAGATTGTTGACAATAGTTCAGGAAGCGAATATATTCCCAGTGATAATGAAGTGGATTTCGGTAATATTAATATTCCATCTGTTTATATACACTCAAAAGAGATACGCTAAACAATCTTTTTTAGATACGGAAGCTAAAACATCATCTAGAAAAAGAAAAACTTCAGTCAAATCCAGCTGCATCCGCACAAAAAAAAGTACATATCGTTATACAATTGATGAATTATTTTATCCTTTTGCTGTTATTATTACTATTTTATTATTAATTATTTTGATCTTGTTATTTTTTAAATTTATCCAGCTCGAGATGATGGAGATAATCAACTATTCAAGCAAAGAGTAGAAACAAATACTTATCCCAAAGATGAAGCAATGCACAAAATTGATACTCTCTTTAAAATGCCACAATGTATTTGGGAAAAATTATACAGGTAGATATGCGTTTTTGCCGAGTTTTACAATTTTTTAATATATAATCATAAATATGATTTAAATATAAATAATAGTTTTTTTTACAATGAAATATAAATATTTATATAACGTTTAGAACAATTAAAGAAAAGATTTAAATTTAATATTCAGACCTTTCTTCTCTACCAATTACTTCGACATGAATTAATTTTTTGTGTTAGAATTCAATATTTAGTGTCATATTTAAATTAATATGATTATATATATATACATATATATAATATATGTAACTTTAACTTTAAATTTTTTGTAACTAGATATCAAAAAGTCGCAGTTAAGTGGCTCTGGGAATTACATAGCCGTAAATTAGGCGGTCTGTTGGGTGACGAAATGGGATTAGGAAAAACTGTGGAGATTATTGCATTTCTCGCGGGTTTGGATTGTAGTGAATTGCTCTCTTACCACGGAAGGTACTGTACGTTTTTGTACTTCTTAATTAATATAGAATTTACATGTATACGAAATATCTACAGAATATTTTTTTTTTAAACACGTGTACTTATATATATTGTTTTATTTCTTATTTGTTATATTTATGTTATAAATGTATTGATGCATTAAAAAAAAAATTGCTCACAATTAACAGATACAGAGGATTAGGCCCGACTATAGTTGTGTGTCCTGCTACTTTAATGGAGCAATGGGTGAAGCATTTTCACGAATGGTGGCCTTTCTTCAGAGTCGTTGTGCTTCACCATTCTGGTGGCTACATTGGTAAGTAAATAGTTTATATATGTTCCTTAAGATAAACATAAATGATATTCACAAAATTCGCAATATTTTCATTCAGGTGATCCAGAAAGTTTGATAGAATCTCTACAAACTGGCGGAATACTTATTACTTCTTACAACGGAGTGCTCAAACACAAAGATTTGCTTGTGTCTAGTCAATGGCATTATATTATTCTGGACGAAGGCCATAATATTCGCAACCCACAAGCAAAGGTAATTACTTATTAAAAATTGGATAGAATTACTTCATTTACATTTGTATATTACTATAAATTTTCTTATTTAATAAACTTTGTAATTGACATGATAAATGTCTATTACAAAATACTTCCTAATATTATCTCTCATATTAATTAAATTATATTATTTTATAGATAAGCCGAGCGGTGAAGCGATTCTCCACTCCGCATCGATTGCTGTTAACTGGTAGTCCAATGCAGAATTCTCTGAAGGAATTGTGGTCCTTGTTTGATTTCATTTTACCTGGCAAATTGGGTACGCTACCTGTATTTCTAGAACATTGCGCGATGCCCATAACACGCGGTGGTTACGCAAATGCCACGCCGTTACAGAAAGCAACGGCTCTCCAAGTAGCCACTATGCTGAAAAACACTATTACACCATATATGCTTCGAAGAACAAAGACTGATGTGAAGCATCATCTCACTCTACCGGAGAAAAACGAACAGGTTTATCTTGTTTTTTTACAATAGACATGCCCCTGTTGCAGACAATTATTGTTCCATTTTTAGCTTTTTTCACAGAAAACAAAGAAATATTGATCTTTTCCATTTTTATCGGATTAATCTGTTTTTTTCTTCAGGTATTATTTTGCAGCTTAACAGATGAGCAAAAGAAATTGTATAAAAAATATTTATGCTCCGATGATGTTTCTTTTGTTCTTCACGGGAGAAATTATTGTGGTAGCGGAAGATACAGAGCGAGATTTTTCATTGCTTTGTCAGCATTGAGAAAAATATGTAATCATCCGGATCTGTTTTTGTACACCAGAGAACAAGTAAGACATAACTAATATATAATAACACTTTATTTATAAGATTATAAATCTTGGTTTTTTTTTAAGGATTCCGATGAAGATATCGATTTGTCCGACGAACAAATAGAGAAGTTCGGATATTATAAACGTGCTGGAAAAATGATAGTTGTTCGATCTCTTCTAAAAATCTGGCAGAAACAAGGTCATAGAGTGCTACTTTTTACTCAGGGAAGACAGGTAAATATAATCCTTTTTTGAATATATAGGATATATGTTCAAAAAGTTTTATGTTTAAATAAATTTTTTATATTTGTCCAATTTTCAAAAATATCAATATTATGGAATACTTTTTATATTTATAAATAAATATTACATAATATTTTAAATTTTTTTTACAAAAATACTCAGTTTTGTGTTTTTCGAATTATTCAAATTACTTATTAGAATTATTATATTAGACATGTTATTATATAATTGATTAGCCAAATAAACTATTTTCCATATTTATTTTTCTTTGTACACAGATGATGCACATTTTGGAGTCTCTTTTGATACGTGAAAAGTATACTTATTTGAGAATGGATGGAACAACAGCAATGTCTCAACGGCAGCAAACGATTCAAAAATTTAACAATGTACATGTTAATTATTTGAAAAAGTATGGCAAGAATAACCTCCTTGAAAAATTAATTCTTCCTTTCCATAGGACTCGTCATATTTTGTCTTCTTATTGACAACGCGCGTAGGAGGCCTGGGAATAAACCTGACCGGTGCGAATCGAGTGGTTATTTACGATCCCGATTGGAATCCAGCTACAGACGCTCAAGCGAGAGAACGCGCATGGAGAATAGGCCAGAATAAGCAAGTCACTGTCTATAGATTAATTACTGCTGGCACGATTGAGGAAAAGGTTCGTAACATCAAGATTATAAAGTTTCACCAATTTTAATGGTAAAAAAGATATATGAATAACGATACGTTTGTAAGATTTAGTAAAATAGTTTAGTAACATTTTTTAGTAACAGGAACTTGCTTCTCTCTTTTCAGATGTACCACAGACAGATCTTCAAGTTACTACTTTCGAATAAGGTTCTTGATGAGCCACATCAACGTCAACTATTTAAACCGACGGATCTGGTGGAGTTATTTAATCTAAATGAGCCAATAGCCGATGAGTTTTCCGAATCGGATCGTTTATTTAGAGAATCTAAATTGACACCCAGTAGCTTTTCTCTCAGTAAGATCGAGCAGATGAAAAAGTTAGCGTCGATTCTCAGTAAGAAAATAAGTGCTAGTGTAAAATCGATGCGCGATGAAAATGAAGATGCAAATAATAGCACTTATAAAGAAAAATGTGATGAACAAAATGATAATTCAAGACGCATCGATGCTCTTGCCACAAAAAATGATGTGTTTGTGGATCAAAACTTATCTTCCGATCAAAATAATACACAAAAGTCTCCGAGCAAATGTAATGAAGATTTTGATATGAATTCTGATGCAAATATTGAAAGAAATAGTAATATAGAAAATGCAAATACATTTAAGGACAATTGTGAACAGAACGTAATTCCAGTGAGCTCTCTAGATAATAATTCAGTGAAGAAGAATAAATTTGTTTTAAGTGACGATAAAGTCACGTCATCGTCTACTCGTAAACAAAAAAAACACAAAAAAAAGCCGAACAATACAAATGTTTCTGCGATGTTTGAGGGAGAACGTGTTTCTTGTCTAATCGGTCGTCGTCTGGGACGTTCTACTGAAAAAGAAGAGTCAGTTTCAACCGCAGATGACGACTATGTGTTAAGGAAGCTATTCGCCAAATCAAGTAAATCGATACATGTTTCACATTTAACATAACATATATTTAATTTTTATGTCTTTAACTTACACAGTATTTAATTCGATATATTTATATACATCCAAATATTAATTATTTATTCATAAAAAGCTAAATACAGTACATATTTTTATTAATCTTTCTAATATTACAAAAAATATCTACATTCTCATGTAAAACTATTTCAGCTGTTGGTTCAGCCTTCCAACATGAAGCAGTATTATCAAATGCACGTCATAATAGCGATAACGAAAACACAATGCAACGTTTTGCACGTGAATCTGCGCAAGAAAGCATGGATTTCATTCATCGATCAGGGAAACATTGTTGGAGACCAGCATAGGATAACCTATAGTTTGTGATGACATTGTATGTTTATTTTTTCTATAAATTTTTTATAAGATTATACACGCGTACTTGTGTGTGTATATATATAAGTACACCGTTTCACAACTCAAATGAAAGATAAGAGTTGTAAGAAAATCATTACTATACAGTTCAAAAAATAAAATTTATAATCTTTTTTATTTTTCTTTAACTTATCTCGTATACACTTATCATATAGTATAATAGAATACAACATTTCGATAGCAAAGGATTTTGTAAATAAATTATTTTTTACAACGTTACGAATGCATCTCATATATGTATAAACGCATATTATAGAAGTATAAATTATGGAGATATAATTATTATAGAAATATAAATTAATTTCATAGTATTTCGTATACATTGCTACACAAAATTAATCCATTTGTTAATTTTTCTTTTCAACATATAATTCAATTCACATAAAAATGCCAAAATGCATACACACTTTTATAGAGCAAAAAATTAAAATTTACAAAAATTTAGTCGTATATGAACAATTTTTTTAGGTTGACATGACAAAAAGCATATGTTCGGTTTATATAAAGAAAAGAAAAACGAATAGATAAGTATTTGAAATAAAATTGTACAAAAGATTTACAGTTTCTTGATAACAAGACATTAATCAGTCCTGATATTCAAATTGAAATAATCAAGGAATGGAAGAGTTACTATTCGGTTACTTCTTCTGTAAATTCATCACTCCCAAACTGTTATTATAACAGTAGCTGTTATTATAAGAGTAACGGTAAGGAAAGTAACAGCGTTACAAGTAACTAATTATTTCCATTCCCTGAGAATAATATATTTTATGGTAACATAATTGTATCAATGTCGCAAAAATCTTTCGAGATTAGGTCCAAACTTGCCTAACGGATCTTCCGGAAACATGATGTAATCCCCGACAAAGGTGGGTATCAGTAAACGGTTCAGAATAGTATTGCGCCATTCCGGTTTCTCTCTATATAGATCTCTGTATTGATCCGAGGAAATCACTATCCCTCCACACGTTGTCGCATATTTTAAGATAAATCTGTGATAAAAGAAATGAGGAAGCGTTAAGATTTAAATTTTTATTACATCTTATGTATGTTTAAAATATATTGTATATGTATATATATATATATATATATATATATATATATATATATATATATAAATTAAGTAAATATTACCCTATCAAAATCATTAAAGTGATAATTTAACTTTATTACAAATCGTCAAAATCACAACTCAAAATGAATTTCAAACATTAAAATCACAATTGAAAATAGTGGTTTTTTAATAATTGTGAAATGAAAATGATAAAAATGGTATTTGATCATGTTAAGAATATATTCTTTTTGCCATTATTATGTGATTAGTTAATGATATTCTGTCAAGTTAAAAGCTAGTTTTTCTCCTTTTCTGGGAAATTTAATTGTTCGAGTTGTGTCACTTTTGAAGTAAGGGAACGACATAAATTTCTAATTAATTGAATACAATAAACAATGAAAGTAGAGTACAAAGTCTATTATAACTTATTGTATAATTTTGCTACAAGAAAATTGAGATAAAACTAATACGTTTTATGTAAAATACACGACCAGTTAGCTAAGTCTGCAGAGACAGGTTTTGAACAGAGTATATGCTATCAATTTCTGATAGCAGAAAGGCAACATCGCAACATTTCACACAGAGTCTGTAATATCTGACGATGTGAGTAAACTATTATCAGAAATGTGAGTCTGCTGACATGCTATGCTAGCAGATTAGCAATAGAGAACGAGCAGGATTTGCAACTTCTGCTCAGTTTCTAGTACCAGTCTGCTATCAGATGCTAATACACTTAGATACTGCTTCATTTTGCCACCAATCTACTGTCTGATTTTATTATTGTTACGTGAACGATTGTATACCTTAAAATGAGATGAAAACTACAAATGAACAAATTTACTAAACGTTGATTAATAAAATTGTAAATATTTTAGTAAATTCGCTTAATTTAGTAATTTTCGTCTAATTTGAAGATACACCATTGATCCTATAGTTCTGTTTATAGAACAGGATCAAAATGCGTCCGCAATTGATGTCAATCTGCTGATATTTCTGATCAAATTTCTGATCAAATTCTGATATATTTGCTGACATTTTGCTAACATTTTATTTAATACGGAGAAATTAATAATTACTTCTGTAAAGACGCGTTTATACATATGTACAATAAGAGTATAATATTATATACTGCATCTAGTATTATATAATGTATGAAAAATATAAACATTTTACTATACAAGAAATAATTCCTACTATGTATTAAAGAATGTAATAAAATATATGTTCTATTTTTTCTATTTATATAATAAAAATGTGGTACCGATCGTCGTAAGATGTAATTTGTCTACCACCAATTTTGCGGCTAGGTGTAAAAATGACTGTTCCCTCTTTGTATAATTGCTCAAGAAATGTATGTTCCTTTCTACGAACATGTTGTGGTAAGAAAACTTTTACAACATGACCTCTCTCTTTAAAATAATTTACCACTATTTGGATACCTTTTTCTGAGAATTCTTTACCTTGTGTATGGCTAAAATGTAACAATTATCATATTCTCAAATAGAAATTTAAAATGACATACATAAAATTGCAATCTTTATAAATTTTATAAGTATACAGGGTGTTCCCAGGTTAAACCACCAAACTTAAAATATGAATTCAGAATAAAAAATGTTCCTCTGAACGTATGCTCGCAAACGGTTTGTTCAAGAGATATTTACTTGTTATATACAGAACTAGGAATGAATAATTGAAATATCTCTTGTTTTTGTTTTGAAGTTCGAAGGTTATTGATAGGCTTTTGTTCGCAAAGCTCGTAGTTGTAGCTCGTAGTTCGTAGTTATTAGTTCGTTGAATGCTTTTGTAGAATAAACTTTAATCATGCCTCGTACGTATTCTAATAGTGAATATGATATATTTATATAGGTTTTGTGACGGAAATGCTAACGCCACTCGCCGTGAATACGTCGCGCGACTTCCGAACAGATTGCCAGATAAATCGGTATTCTATTTAACATTTCAACGACTGAAGGAAATTGGGTCATTTAATGATTCCCCGGGAACTCTCCCACTTATGGAGTTTTTGCATCACTGCAAAATGAAAGAACAGCCATCATATTGCAACATTTCAATCAAAATCTATCAACAAGTACCCGAAGATCTGGTTATGTATGTTAGAAATTTTATCTAGTATATGGAAGACACTTTCAGCCGATGAATGTCATCCATATTGTAACTTTGGCGGTTTAACCCGGGAACACCGTATATAATTAGTTAATTTTCGCATTTTATCAAAATTTATCAATAATATACATATCAGTAATATTTTATTACTATATTATTAATTAGAAGAAAAGTATCATACTTCATTGCCACATTGCAACCGTCAACAATTATCTCTCTTAATTTATATTTTAAATTTGTTCCGCTATTCTCATCTGAATTTTTCTGAGTTTCCTCTGCTCCTCTTTGCAACTTGTTACTGTAACGTATATTTAATTTTATGGGACTTGCATTCCAGTTATCACGGTGCCATTTTCTTTGACTGTTATCTGAACATTTCAATGTACTTCGTTTAATGGATTTGACAAACGATTTGGCTGTAATTTTATCGCAAGATAGATTTTTTCTTTTTCTTTTCCATGGATATTCGGATGTATTTGTATCTGTATCTGTATCTGTTAAAAATTTGAGATACTTCATATTTGGTGTTGTATCTATCATAAACATCCCATTTGTCTCATCAGGATTATGTCTCACATCTTCTTCATTTTGATTTGCATTTTTCTCTCTTTTATGCTTCTTTTTATTTTTCTTGTCTTTACTCACATTTAATGAATTCAGACATGACCATAACTCAACCACATCATCCTCTGTTTGTGACGGCGCTAAATGTTATGATATACAGATATTACTTTAAAACATTTTAATAGATATGAATCATTTATATCAAGTAGACAAATAGATGATGCATTGTAATAGTGATTTCATTATATCCTTGTTGTTTATCAGTGTAAAACAAAGATAAAATGATTCACATTTCAGTGGCTTAGTTTATATCGTATATTTAGGCCTCTATCTATATGTCTTTGTTTAATTTGCAGGTTAAACAAGAATATCTATCACAGGCCTCTCCAATTTGAGCTCTGGAGTCAAAATGCAAAGCGCCATTGATGTAAAAAAATTCAATGTTAGTAAGATTTTAGAACTATAAAGTGTTGATGAGTGTCACTTTGATGTATATCAACACTTTACAATCCCTGAAATCTTACTCACATTAAATTTTCTTGCATCGATGATTTTGCGTTTTGGCTCCGGAGCTCAAGTTGGACAGGTCTGATCTATCATATAGGTAGCCGTCTAAACGTACAGTGTAAACTAGGTCAATATGTTACACAGAAGGTACTTTTCATTTATAGTAAAGTGTCATTCTATCCTTGTTACTTCCAATAAAGATAGAACGATGTTTGTGTCAGTAATTATAAATGAAATGCACCTCTTGTATTTTTCACTGGAGAAAACACTCTAATTCTTTTATCAGAATTTTATTAAAAAATAGAGTTAACTTACCTATATTTTCTTCATTTAAACATTCCTGTGCATCTGTCAAACAAAGTACAGATGAATCATTATCTAATGACATTACGGACGATTTATTCGTGTTCTTCTTGGTAGAAGTTTTCAGTTTTTTATTTTGTTGAAAAGGCGAGGCCGATATTGAGCTACATTCAACGACGCTGAGCGAGGCATCTTCATTTCTCTCATCACTTTCACTGTCGCTGTCATTGATGACAATTATACTATTTCGTGAAGATTTTCTTTTAGAGGAATCTGCTGCATTTTGTTTTTTCAACTTTCGCATTCCACCAGATAACCTCCTACCTTTGTCAACCATCTTCTCGTCTACCCAGCTAGTGAGATTCACCATATTGATTGATAAAAATCATAAGTTTTCAGTAATCTTTTGATATAAAAATTGAATTCAGTCAAAAATTACCTTTTCCTAAAAACATTCAATGGACTATTGTAAGAATATCTAGATTCTTTTCGACTTAAACTCCTTTTTCTTTTCATCCTTACGAGCCAGTTCCTATGTAGGTCATACGATCACGTGAATTATGTACATACAATTATACGTTCAACAGTCGATTTTGAGAGGAACAATATCCGCGAGACGATTGTTCGTTACTCCCGTATTTTGTTGAAATACAATCTCGAGATTTGCGTAAAACTTCGATCACTCCATACATTCGTACGTGACGAATTGAATAAATTGTCATAGCGATTTTTATCGCTTTGTTTTGAAATTCATTAATTGACTTGAACTTGAAATGAGGGCGCCTCGATCACAATGGCTTCTCTTTTATCATATAGCGTATTTCACTGGCAGAGCTGGTGCGCAATTCAGTGCAATCGACATAAAAATGTACGTGTTTAATAAAAATATAGAAATAAATTAAACCACGAAATGATATTTGATAAAATATACATTGGGTATTTTATTAACTGAGATCTCTCACTTTTACAGTCAGATTAGGTTAACGTACAACAGCTCTAATGTGCACTGAGTGCGCAGCGGTTCTGCCAGTGAAACACGCTAATAGATGGAAGATACATCGGTGATCGATAAGGCAGGGCGCGCGAAGACGAGTTAGAGGGGGCGTTAAGGGCGCGACTCAATAAAATAGGGAGGCGCGCCGGACGGGCGGTTTCGCGACGTTCGCTGGTGACATACGGTTGCCGTGTAAAGTAAACGACGTACGCGGCGCGATGAGTTTGACAGCGGCAACGATCGACACCGAGTGACGCGCCTCCTCCTTCTCCTCCACCTCTTCCTCTTCCTTTACTCCCCTCAGCGTACACCCGGAGTAAAAAAATCCGGAGTAAAAAACCACGAGAGCGACCATTCGACATGAGACGAGAGAGAGATGCGATCGAGGAGAGTCCCGTGACAAAATAAGGTCTCGCCAGGCATTTAGGTGTATTATTATGGCAGGATGGACGAACGTAAATTGCTACCGTTGCTGATACTCTTTCTGGCAGGTAAGAACCTTCGCCGAGTAACAATTAACGAAAGAGAGAAAGAGAACGAGTGCGTTCGTGTGTGCGTGAGAAAGGAAGGAAGAGAGAAAGGGATGCGCTTCCGTTCGAGGAACAATGCCGTGATCCATATTCAATGATCATGCGATCCGCGACCGGGTACAGTACGTGCGTGAACGATCGTTACGATTCAGGGTCGGAATTATGTAAAGAGGCTGTCTCGCTGCCTTCCGTCGCTTTTGCACCACTTCCGTTGCTATCGCCGCCTACGTCATTCGCAAGCGTGAGTAATGGCAGTGTGTATGTGGTTTGCGAAACCACCTGCCGAGATCACGACGCAATTCTTTGTCGTCATCGTGTCTTCTTTTTTCTCGCTAATTTTTTTTGTAGATCTTTTTTTAGAATAAGATGCTTCCTGGTTGAGTTGAATTATTGCATCGCAACAACTAAAGATCCGTTCATGTTAATTACATCTTGAAACAGTCATATTTTATGTGAGGAGAATGAAGGAAATAGGATGATTAAATTTCGAGATCTTCTATAATCTGTATAATTCTTAGACAATTTTATGTACCCAGCTATGGTTACTACTTGTTGGGCTACATGTTTGTTCTTGACAGAGCAGTCTTTCCTGTTAGGTGTAATAATTTATCAATTTTTCTACCTAGGTCACCTGATTGATAATCTAATTAAACAGTTATTATTAACAGTTATTATTGTTTTATCATTAACAGCCATACAAGACAAATGTTGATGAGTGATTTGTGAACTTGCAGGATGGCAGGAAGCATTGGCTGTGGTACCAATGCAGTACGTTGCTGTGGACGTGGGTAAAGATCTGAAACTGGCCTGTGCCGAGGAGAGTGATCTTTCACATCCTAAGGAATCCAATGTGATGTGGATAAGAGAGGGACGGAAGGACGGACAGGTAGAACGACTGAAAATTGAACCGAATGGTGTGCTGGAACTGTTAAATGTCAGCGTGGATGACGCTGGCAATTATTCATGCACTTTGGACGATACTGTGAAAGCTAAGATCAATGTGGAAGTCAAAAGTATGTTGTAGCTCGGTCACCTTGATATTATATGAGAGACAATTTGTGATCACAGATAGCAACATTTTTTAAATACAGTCAAATTTGTCAAAAAAACCAATTAGTTAATGAGTTTTAGATTAATTGAAAAATTTTAATTCACGTTTTAGATTTAGTAGTAACTTTAGGAATCTTATTCAATCAAGTTTTAGTATAAGCATTGCTCTGTCTATTAAAATACAGCCTTAGATTTTATTTATTGTATATTTCTTTTGTGTCTTTAGCACCTCCCCCAGCCCTGCACAATGTATGGGTCAAGCCATCCACAATATTGGCCAACATTCTCTGGGAAGTGGCTGGTACCGGCGGATATCCTATCATAGACTTCACTGCCGAATATCGTTTGAAACCAGTCACGGGCGAAGAACCGGAAGAATGGAAGCCCATTATTCCAACACACATTCCTCCAAATTCTGTAAATATCTTGATCTGAAAATTGTAATGAAAAATAGGGATGTTGAAAAAAAAAGACGCGACGAAATAACGTTATATAATACTGCAATCATCGCAATAGCGTAACATTGTTTTATAACAAAATAAGATAAATAAAAGGCATAAAACTACGAACGCAAGATGTAAGCAGCGAATAAGTATATATTTAAAAGTTAAAATACATATAATAGACGTTTCGGTCTTAAATCAGACCATCTTCAGTAATAAATGAAATATGAGTTATAAACAAAATTTAATTTTCGCAAACATTAAGTCAAAAAGAATAAACAATAGTCAACGCAAAATACACTTTTCTTGTGTATTTTGCGTTGACTATTGTTTATTCTTTTTGACTTAATGTTTGCGAAAATTAAATTTTATTTATAACTCTCATTTCATTTATTACTGAAGATGGTCTGATTTAAGACCGAAACGTCTATTATATGTATTTTAACTTTTAAATATATACTTATTCGCTGCTTACATCTTGCGTTCGTAGTTTTATGCCTTTTATTTATCTTATTTTGTTTAAAATTTGAACTACGTTTTGACCTAATTTATTGTTTTATAACATTGTATCTGCTTCGATTTCAATTATTAGGCTATAAAAAAACAACTATTTTTTTATAACGTTAGTAAGTTATTCCATCCCTTATAAAAAAAAAGATTAATTGAATTAAGACTAACGATTGTTTTGTTACTTTAAAGAGACAGATAGATGTGTATCATTTGGTGCCAAACACTACATACTCGTTCCGAGTGTGGGCATCCAATCAGCTAGGAAAAGGAGAAGTTGTGGAGGTCGAAGGTCACACGCATTACAGTGTAGAAGAATTGGGTATTTTGTTGCAATTATTACATAATTTTATTTTACGATAAAAAATTTTGTATATAGAGATTATCACTGGAATAAAATAAGATTCGAGCCTGTGTATAAATCTGTAGCTGAATCTGTTGTCGTTATTTAAATTAAAACATTGAAAATTATTTATTGAAGTAGTTATTTATTAAACTTATATTTAAAAGTTACTTATTGAAAGTGATTTGAATATTGAGGCATGTGAGTTAAAGATGATACCAAATCCAAACTTTTATAAATTCGTAATTTTAACGACAAATAGTTTTGATACATTCTTAATTACATTCTTCATATGTATATAACATCTTCTGTAGAAATTACAAGATATATCTTTCTATCAAATATTTCTGGTACAATATCTAAGCTAAAACTAACGTAACTTTATTGTGTGACATAACTAATTTTCAGAGCTCGCCCGACACCTCTTAGCCGGCGTAGAGAATTTCGATACACGCGTCTGGGTGGCAGCCGTAGGTATAGTGATGGGCACACTTATGATTCTTGGTTTAGGTACTTGTTACCTACTGTATCGCGAGTGCAAGGCACCCTGTAAGCATCCTATCTGATAACGTACCGTAAGAGCTTCCGCTTCTACTCTGTCTCTTTACTGCTGCTACTACTACTTTCCGCTGGTGATGATCATAACATTCATGGCCTCTCTAATAAGCACGATGCTCGAGAAAATCGTTCTCTCTCTCTATAGAAGCCTTCGTGCAAGTTATAGCTGAAGAACATACATCATATTCATTTAACAAACAACAGGACCTGTTAGCATCTTAGCCGGCTAGCTGACTTATCTGTGACTTTAATCTTTGGCTTTTCTCTATTAAGCGACAGTCATGTTTTTCGAAAAATTAATATTTTTATAATATCTCGTTTCTGTATATTCTGAGCACCTTGCAAACTTCTCATTAGATTCAACATTTACTGACAAATACGACATCATTTAACGGAAATCTCATTCCATCAATTATATAAATACGACACTTTTCAGATTGCCGCACCGAACACTAACAATGAGCACACAAGTAAAACAATTTTTTTATCTTTTACGATATATGGCACATGGAATGAAATATCGAACTACTTAATAGAATTTCCTTGCCACAGATTTACTTGTCTGGTTACTGAATCTTTTTGATATACGAATATTTTCTCTTATTATTCCAATTAGATATTTCTTATGCTGTATATACATAATGTTAACGAGCCTGCCGAAAATAATTTAGTGATGATGAATGAATAGTAAATATTACGATAGTCATAGAAAGCATTATGGCTTAGTTAAGTAATATCGATAAGATCTTTGACATTATCGAGGTAGGTAGGTCAAAGGTAGCAGGTTCATTTGTCAGGCAAACGGCGTTTTGATTGGCATCGGAATATGATAGTCTATTGTTGCATTAATGAAATTATCAATAGTCAGAAATAATTTGGAAATACGGTAACCGACACGAAATTTCAAGGCGTAAATGGTTTACAATACCTGACAAAGAAAAACCGGTGAAGGGAGAGGGTAGAAGCTAATGAGACCCGTGGCCTAGACTAATGAAAATTAATCTCCGTTCCGAAATTGCAGCGCAGCTGGAGGAGCAGGAGGTGATTGAGCTCGTCCCCAACATCATTCTGAATCCGGGATTTTTCGACGAGCGCACCGAGCACGTACCACAAGATGAGAACTTCAACAATCAGACGACTACACGCCTCAACAACAACAGCGTTGTGCAACCTAGACGGCTTTAGCGTTTTTTGTTTAGTTTAGACTTGCTCCGCTCCGAAGTGAGTAAATTGGACGTAGTTTTCTACGTCATCTCGAACGTAAGTAACCGAATTTAATCGGAAAGGCCTCGAGTTTGTCTACAAAGAAAAAATGAAAAACGATGATGGACGAAATTGATAGACTAAAAACGCAAGACTATTAGTAATCATGGCGAAAGGAGAATACGTTTCGGGGAAATTTCGGAACACTTCAGCAATTCATAGCTTCAAGTGCCTCGCTAGTTTCCTCGACTTTTCTCTTGCAATCAGAGATCGAACGAAAGAACGGCTTCTATTCTAAAAGGGTTTTTCGCAAAAACCCATATCTCTTTAATGCGATTTTAAGGATTCCAGTGGGATATTTGTAAAAAATTGCTATTATTCTTGGAAAATTTACAAACAATTTCAAGGATAAAGCGTAAGTAGATTTTTATATGTGCAGTAATATAGAGAAAAGTGTAAAATAGATAGATTAAAGCTCATTTTTGAGAACCTGTGGGAGTTGTATCTATCAAAATATAATGATATTAAACATTATGATTTTAAACTTGTAGAAACAAATGAGACTGTCGAAACAGAAGGAATTGAAAAAAAAAAGAAAATGAAGGTTCTCGATTTTCGATTCTCGTTCGATCTCTGATGTTACAACGCAACAATGAAGTGTTCAAAACCAGAATGTAAGACTCTCCACGTCAGATTTCTTCGCGAGAGGAGGTAATAGATTTTTTTAGAAATGTTTACTGCAGGACGTTCTTTGTCTTTCTCGCGTATAGTTTCTCAACGAGACATACTCAATGATTGCTCAGTGACCGAGCTTAAAAGGAAGTAGAACTCCTGTGAGCCAAAAGAATTGTAGTAAGACTGTAACTTAAGAGCATAATTTAAAAGAACTCAAAGTGAATCACGTGATGATCGAACGATATTCAAAAAAGAGAAAGATGTATTTTGCACTTGTTTATCTTTTTAAAAAAGTAACTCAATGTGCGCGAATGGCATGCGAGTATTAGGATTGTTTTAACATGCTCATTTATCATTTAAGCAATCGGATCGTACATATATATTTACATATATACAGTATGACGAACTTACTGCCGTTTTTAAGGTGTGCACAAGTCGTTGAAAGATCCTTCCTAGGAATATCTGCGAAAGTCTTTTTTTTTTTGTTATAAATTTACGTTTAGATACTCTCACTCTTTGTATCTTTGTTGGTATGCTGCTGCTCGTTATGTGTGCTCCGTGGAAAAATCCCGCGAATTCGAAAGGATTCGATAGGATATATAGACACAAGAATATTATTTTAATTCTAACAGTATATAGTATATATGGACTATTGTTTTTACATACATTAGATTTTTGTCCGTAATATTTTTCACAATCTGCATGCGACTGCTCGAGGGATGCGCAATATTGCTTTGGCACACTTTTGCACCACCTTTAATACTACCACAACTATGTCTATGCAGTCTACGACTCGCACGTGGTTTCGCAAAAATCAAATTTTCCCAAACAGCGACTAAGGAAAAAGAAACGGACGGATAACTCTGCAAAGCACAACTATCAATAGATGTAATAAACCGTACGAGAAGATAAGTGGCGTTCCACTTCAATAGCATCATTTTCCGACGATATTCTGATATCGTTTTCTAGTTGAGAAAGAAGTCTTGTACCTTTCGTTAATACCGTCGGAAAATGAGGCAATAAAGAAATGGGTCGCCTGGTACAGCAGCCTATAACGCGCGAAGATTAACGTGCATTTTGCATCGCGTGCAATAATAAGATTTTAATAATCACTAGCACTTAATTATACATTTAAATAAGATGGAGATAAAACACATTACATATTTTGAATAACGCTGTCGTATTAGACGTGAATGAATCTCTATTATAATTGAACAACTGGACATTCTGCAACGCTCTCGGGACACTGTTTCGTGCGTGTGCACAAGATTTCAATGTTAACGTTCGATGCGATAGTTAACGGATGGACGTTTGATTCCAGCTAATGAGAAAGAGTGTTTGATGTAGGAGCAGCAATCGATTTCGATGAATTGTTCCTTTAGATCTGTTATATTTTCTCCTGTTGCTATAATTAATCGCTGATCGTTGTTTACTAGAGAAAACACAATACTTTATCTCCTAAAGTATTTGTTAAACACACAATTTGTATATAATTTGTAAAATTATTCTAAATAATAATTTAAACATATTCCTCTTCTTTATATCTCTCGATGATCGAGAGACGTAATATTTCAATTAAATTTATTAAATTTACTCAAAATATAGTGGCACACATAAGTCAACTGTAAGGTGATATGATACTTTAATGCACGCAGGTTGTATAAAAATTGGTTGTGCGTTGTTACACTGAGGCTTTAAATTTGCTTCTTCTTTTAACACATTCTTTAATATACATATTTATGTATGTATATAAAAGAATGGCGATATAAGAGTAAGCGGATCGACATTCAGCTTCGTACTATGCACTCTGTGTTGTGAATGGTATATAGATATATAAGAAAATAATACAATAATAATTACGATAATGATATGGAAATACGTGTATAAGTATACACACACACACACATATATATATATATATATACATATATAATATATTTATATAATCGAAACATCATGCTATTTTAGGTATAAGTAAAGACAATTTTTTATATACATTACGATTATGCTGAAACCTGATGATAATATTTATCTATATGTCGAGATAGACGATGATTCTACTATGACGTGATACTGCGTCTTGCTTTGCTAATCGGCAAATCTCGCTCACGAAAGTTACTTGTATAGTGCATCCCTCTTTAATTTACTACAGAAGAGTTATATTATTTTTGCCCAAAACGTCATGAAACGCTATATACATAAGAACGATATATGTAATGTTAAATAAAAAATTTTGATAATGTAAATTTTTTACATGATTATAAATTTAAATTTTTTCTGAATTATATATAATAATTATAATTTATGAATATAATTATAGGATTATTATTTTCTATAATTATATAATTGATTCTTATTAATTTGTCACGACTTGCAAAGCGCATATAAAGCTATCCAATTTTTCAATTAATACGACTCTTCAAATTCCCATTAGAAGTTTTAGGCGTAACCATTTGCTTTTTATCAAATATAATATTAAATATACCTAATGCCTATAGCAAAAATTGCTAAAGAAAACCGTTTTATCTCAAAGATGAAACGTGCGTTAATAATCCAACACAAATTATTCTTATAACTAACTACTAAGCTGATATAAAGATTGCGATAACAAACTTGAAAAAAAAAACATCATGCGTCATGGAATTTCTGCCATTGTACTGTGTGGAGGGAATAGCATATCTACGCGCATGTAAAACATATTTGTCTAATGGAGATTATTTTTTTTATATAGAAAACGCGTCCGCTGCAAATCTTATCACTATAATAAGCGAGAACCGTTAATGGCATTCTGACACGAATGAAGAATTGACATACACCAACCGCGCTTTATATATAGTTGCATAGCAAATATATTTTCTATTCCTTTCTACTATTAGGATTGTATAAGAAAATCGCCGATAATAGATAAATGCGGACAAAAAAATGAATCATGATAGGAATCATAATGTAGAGGGAAATATTTCATGATGTGACGAGATTATATGATCGCGAATGTAAATGTATACCTACAGTAATAATGGCAGATATTTTATATTCATATCATAAACATTGTAATAATCTATGTGCTATTGTAGTAATCCCTATAGGCGCAATTTTCATGTTTGTAATTTTTAAAGATAAGGCATCGAAAAATGACAATCCTGAGAGAATAATTTCTCACAAATAACTTTTAGTTTTTATTTTATGTTGATTCTTTTAGTAGTATCTTTTAAGATTTTATATATCATTAAATTTATTCTTTTTAGTATCATATAAGATTGAAAAAACGTTTGTTTTCTAAAAAATTTAAAAAATCTAATACTAAATGAAATTAATTCGAGATCTTTTTTTTCAGATCATTATTTCACGTTCTGCAATGTAATTTCTTTCGTCGATGCCTTATATATTTAATTTTGTTTCTTTTTATTCTCTTTAATTAAGTATATTGCATCAATATATTCACTCTCTTCCGCGAATAGTTATTCCTGCTTCTCTAAAGTTTGTTTTCATCGGCTATTGTTACATCACTTATGTAACAGCACTGCCGCGTTAGTGCGTGCACAATCGTTATCCTATATACTGCATAATTATTCCCGATATACCTCGATGATTAATGCACTCTTTGATGAAACGTATATATTAAGCGAAGCACAATGCCAATAGATTAGTATGTTTATGGTTGCTAGTGCCACCATGTATCGTCCCCAACATACATATTTGCCTGCCTAATTACATCCCGATGTGCGATGAACATACATGTGTCGTTTCTACAGAAAAAAAAACAGAAAAAACGCTACGGCTTCTTCCATGATATGACAGAATCTATCGATAGTTTCATAGTGAATAATTAATGTCAGACACTGGATGTTTTCCTATTGTGTAACTAGCAAACTTTTTTTGTTTCTTTTCGTGAAACTTACACTTACCGCATATCGCTGGCATAGTAGCGTTCGTAAAAACATTGTGAAAACAGCAGTGAAGAAAGAAAAGGTGTGTTACAACAAATAATATCGCAAATTATTTATGTCGTGAATGCATAATTCAACTCGATTATCAATAATTTATTATTAGTATATAATAAATTGTATTCGGGATCGGATTTTAGGGACAACATTCCGAGATGTGAGAAAGAATTGTAGTCATAATTATGTGCAATAATAGTAATTAATTCTGAATAATTATAATTAATTCTGTAAATATAAATTTTCTAAAATTATAATTCGATATATAATTTTAACTAGTCAGAGATGTAGCTTTTAAGTTATAATCTTAACTCTTTAGCCTTTGCTTTTTACATTTATTTTATCTTTTATTTCCTTTTTTCTAAAAAGAATTTAAATTTTTTGCTTTTTTGTGAAGATCTGTTGAATTTTTTTTAGATCTGTGATGTAGAAGGAAAATCCGATCCTGAAAGATGTCACGGTGTACTCTTTTGTAGCATTTAGATGTGTGTCATAGAATTTTATTTTAGTACGGCGCTGTGAGATGAAGTAGGGGCCATAAATAACCAAAAAAGAATAGTTGAGCTTTAATAATATACTTCTGTTATCAATACTTATTGTTTTTGTTTGCTAGATCTTTTATTGTTTTTTTTTGCGTATATATACTCTGTTGCGTTTATATATACTTATTGTGTTTTCCTTTCTTTTTAATTGATATTATAATTGTATTATATATTACTTTACTATCAAAATCTCAGTCAACAGTAGTATATGTGCATCTAGCGATAAGTTGTTATTGTTTGAATTGGCGCAAAAACATTCTCTATGTGATGTCAATAATTAGAAAATCATGGGCTTTTCGATGTCTCAAAATCATTTTATAAAGCTTGATGTATATTCAGAGTTAAAAAGAAGATAATATTAATTTCGTAAAACATGACATCTACTTAGCGATAAAAAGAAGGTAGTATTAATTTTACTTCATTAACTTTCTCTTTATTAACAGCAAGAGTAATGTTTTTGAGATTGTTTTGCCAATGATTTTCTTATATGTATACGCTTAGTTAGAAAGCGATGGCAGTGAATACATTCCACTAAATACAAAGATACTGTGCAATCTTTGATTAAATGGAAATTATGCGGAAACACGTAACGATATATTCACTGGATTAGATATTGCTTTCCGAGTAACATTTTGTAAGATGAAAGTAATGGTTGTGCTTGAGTGCAAATACCGTCACTGTTCTAGACTGTTACGGCAAATAACATCGTATATAGTCGCGCACGGCTCGAACAAGCCAAAGAGAGCATTACACTAGGCACATATCAGCGAGACGTAATGAAAATTATCATAATTAGCAGCGCTCTGCACTCCGTATCTTTATATCGATACTGTCTGCAATCACTAGTGTAATACGATACTTATCTGTAATATCCGAATCAAGTTTCTTTTGTTAAAGCGAAATTAAACATTGAATTTCCTATGAAGCGAGTCTTCTTTTCTTCTAAACTAAACGTTAAATTATATTGATTATATTGTTTCACGCTAATACCTTGTACAATCATGTACTCATCGCTTCCGCTGTATGTACATTCATACGATAACATTTTTTAGTGATAATTGTAACTATAGTTTTAATTCACGTCAGGTTGTTACAATGGTTGTCTCACTATACTATATTCCTACACATAAAATATCAATTAAGAAAACTCTTCCAGATTTATTTACAGAATTTATTGCAAATATACAATAAATGTAACTGTCATTGATAACAGCAAGTAGTCATTATTTTGCATGCCAAGGTGGGACTGGCTTTAAAACACATTCAAGTTGATTTAAGGCATTAATCTAATTTCTCAGTTTTATTTGAAAAAAAAAGCACCGAATTTTCGATGCTAATCTTTTGCATTGATAATCCATCCAAATAAATTTTCCTCAAAGTCCACTAACGTTAAGCCATAAGAAATAATATTTTCTCGATTCTGGCGCAGAGTTTTTGCATTTCACTAGGTACCGTGAACTCCGCTGCTAGAATAGCGTTTGCCACGGCTATTGTCTCTTGAACCGATCGCGCCTTGATCCATATCCTGCCATTCATCCCAGCGGCAAGTTCGTACGCCTGATTCCTTCCGAGTAGCCTGAACAACGGACACTCCGGATTGAGTAATTTCCTTACGAGGCTCAGCGAGCAGGTGAACATCATGCCATCTGAGCTGAGCATCCCGAGCTCATTCTCCTTGCCGTGGGAGTCCACGCATACCAATTCCGGCTCCATATCCTTGCTGGCGACCAGCAATTTGGCGTACACTAAATCGCCGATTTGTATATCAGGTCGATTTTTCTTCGTGGCTCCCTCAAAGGCCAAATAAGATAGTGTCGCCTGTTCACTGGCTCCGATATCCACTTTATAAATGTCACCGCTTTTTTGCGTCACTATACCAACGACGTTCTCGCCTCGACTGGGAATGTATCTGTGTAAAATAAAGAATAGTTAAAAATGGATAAACAAAAAAAAAGAGAATTAATTAGTTGATTGAAGCTTGGTCCAAGTCAGCTCTATTTTTGTTGAAGATGCTGGATCGAATTACATGCGTGTTTAATGTAAAATGAAAAAAGAAAATTCATATATTTTATAAACTCATATTAATCCTCTGAAACTAATAGTCTACCTACTGTACCCACTCAATTATAAATCTCTATCAAAAATATTCAATTTTCTTTTACAGCAAGTTTTGATTATTCTTATTAAAATGTACATAGTATTCATTTTCTTTTTATACAAGTTATTTTTTATTTATTGTGTTTTATGTCATCAATTTATTTGCAGGTATTGAATTTTTCTTTTATTGATTTCACATTCAATAACAATTTATATGTAATACGTAGATGTATAAGACATAATTTATTAATCGTTATTTTTTAAATATTTTTGTTTATTGTTACTCGTATACTAAACAATTTTTATGGATGATATATTTGTACAATGACATAATTTTTATTTGATCATTTTCCTTTTTTGTGAGTCATGTTCATAACAATTTTCATGTAAGACACAGATGTTTTAATATTTTAAATGGATTAATTTGTAATTTTTTTCGTATCTTTTATGACATTCGATTGTATTAGTTACGTATTCATTATTTTGCTATATTTGTATTTAGAATATGAAGGAGGATATCAACTTCATTGATGTTAATATTATTGGCCATTTTATTGTACAATTGTCACGAAACCGATGACTACCTAGATTGCATTTGAGGCATGGTCTGGAATATACGAGCTACAAGTTCCAACAAAGACGAACCATTCTGGACGGTTTATATGCCACTATTAATTTTACCAACATGCGAATATGTATGCGCCTTTATTATATATTGACCATCATGCGTTGTTACCGGTAACATTTGGATTTATTTTTTAACATTGAGAAGGACTCAATAGGTCGAAACGTCTGAAGAAGTCTGTATAAGTTATTGCTTACAATTATATTGTTACTCTAACGTCACCTTGAGTTGGTTCTTGACCCTATGATTGAATTGTTTTAATATACAAGTTATATTATTTTATATTAATTTTACCAACATGCGAATATGTATACGCCTTTATTATATATCGACCATCATGCGTTGTTACCGGTAACATTTGGATTTATTTTTTAACGTTGAGAAGGACCCGATAGGTCGAAACGTCTGAAGAGGTCTGTATAAGTTATTGCTTACAATTATATTGTTACTCTAACGTCACCTTGAGTTGGTTCTTGACCCTATGATTGAATTGTTTTAATATACAAGTTATATTATTTTGGTTCTTTGAAATTAATTAGTGCCTTTTAATTAATGTAAATTAAATAGATGTTATAGACTCAGCATCAGTATAACTGTGTTACAAGGTGCTTTCCAGCAAGAGACACAGTGTTTTTCATTTGATACAAATCGGCACAAGTTCTATCTTACTTACTCATGAAGTGTCAAGAAAGATAGAATGATATTTGTGTTAATTTATGTTACTAAATGGCAAGCAGATGACATAGACTGCTTTTCTTTTAGGAAACACAGTCGACACGAACATGATTTTATTCTTCAAAAAATAATATTTTGTACCGTTTCTGATAGCTGTCCACATAGTAGACGGCCGGGTCGCGTTTCCTCAGAACACCGGCTTTGCAGATGAAAACGGCATCGTCCTCACGACGCAGTCCAGGGCCCAGGATCACGATCTCCTTCTCGTGGTCTCTCTTTTTGTTTTCCTTCTTGAATGACGTGATGTTCGTTAAACTATCACCCGGCATCACCACGTCGCCCACGCTGACTTCCATCCCGAGAGAAAAGAAAAGTTACTCTCAGCTTTTTATTTCATTCACGCGATTAACAAGTGTATCCCGCGATTTCCTTGAAACTGTCGGGACTGTCGGTTAAACGCCAACCTAACCTCAAAACCATCACAACGTGCGACCACGTGCGTAATTCGGACTTGTCACCATCGTGATAGAAACGTCAAAAAGTATAAAATTTTCAAATTGAGTTTCATTGACACTGAAAGCAACTGTTTGTTTTATATTACTATCAAGAATGAAATAATAAAATTCTCATGATTCTTTTCAAATCTGTTCTTTACAGTTGTTTTGTTTACACTTTACAGGCATTTACAGCTGTTTACAGAACTTTCCGCACTTTTTCGTCCTCCTTTTTCTTGCTGACATTTATAATTGTGTAACTATTTCATCCTGGATGCGAAAAGTGCAATATGGTGCAGCTACACTTCCGCTGATTTTCGGAAGAAGTTATATTTATTTATGTGTGAATTCTTCTGTCGGCGGAATGGATACAGGAAGAGATTCAAATGTTACACAACGAACAGATATCACAAGTAGGCACCCGTTACGACGTAATCAAGAAACGGACAATCCTTGTTACAAGGTATCTAAGGCCCAGTTTCACAACTGACGGTTAACTCTTAACCGAAGTTCAACTTATTCATTATCTCTTTTTAATTCTAGAATTGGAAAAAGGTGACAAATAAGTTGAACCGCGGTTAAGAGTTAACCATGGGTTGTAAAACTGGGCCTTACTGTTTTATTATTATCGAACGTCGCGTGAACACACCTTCGGTATTCTTTTACAGCGATACAAGTGTATGTCTATGTATCAAGAAAAGCCAGAGAAAAAGCATAGCTAAGAAAATGTAGATAAAAGAAAATACCGTTAGCTAGAAGACCAGAACACGGCTGTTTTGTTAACACGTTGCGTTTTTCTCAACTTCTAGGAGCATCTCATGTCCCTAAAGTGCCTCAATTCTGATAAACCTCGGGAGGCATGCCAGCCATATTTCAACAATTACAAGAACTGTAAAGATTTTTGGGTAATTCTCTTCCTGCGATCCATGAAGGCACAAATTCATATTTGAGAACGTTTTTTAGCAAAAAAACAATCGATACAGTGTAACACAGTGTTATCATTTCATTCTTATTGTTTGCCAATGTTAAATAAAGATGCAAGGATTCACTGTGGGTGATTTTTGTATCACTATTTACAAGTGAATAGTGATACAAGTCGATACAAACATAATTTCTATCTTCCTCATTCAATGAGTAACCAGGGGCAGAATATTTGTGACATTAAATGAAAAGCATTTTATCATATGTATCTTGCTAGAAAATGCTCCCGTGTCCGCAAAATTACATCTTCAATAGGATTATTTTTCTTACAGGCTTCTGTGCGACATGAGCGCAAATCGAAAGGTATCGAACCGTACCTGCCACCTCCGGAGGAGCGCGCCAAAATAAAGACCGATTTCCTAAACTCAAGATAGTGATAGATACAGCACACGGCTTCATTTGTAAAAATATTTTTTATTCCGTAATATTCTTCGGTGTCTCGCAATATTACATTGTAATATATTACGTATGTATATAGTCCAACAGAGTTTATAAGCTTGAAATATATTAAATCCACATTGAAAAGAAACTGACATTTTCACTATTACCATCTAAATTTCTTCTTTCGATACATGTTAATTTTACATACACTTGGAAAACATATTACTTTGTGATGTATCTACAATTGCGATCAAAACTGTGAGACAAACAGAAAAGAGAGAAACTAGCTAGCTGCCACATTTCATTGTAGCAGAATTTTACATTGCAATTTATGAAAATCAAGATTATCATATAATAATTTGTACACATATTTTATATAACGCAAATATACAATCGATACATAAACAATAACGCACTCTCGATCCTTTCTTACTTAACATACATATTATCTTTTACTAAATGCATCTTAAAGTACTACACACAATGTTTTACAATCAAAAAATATATATATATTGCCAATAATTTAAATAATTTTCCAAATATTAATGAAAAAGAGAAAGAAAAAAACAGCTAAATACAATATTATTAGTCATTGATTAATAACGTCCGAGGACGATACATGTCGAAAACGAAGAGGTGCATTTTTAGTTCACTGCTCAATGAACTCGGCAGCATTCAAAGAAAAAGTATTTGTACACACATATTATATGTAAGCCCAGCGGAATATTATGATGGAGAGAACGTTTATGGACGAACCGCTGCTCTTGGAGATAAAGCGGTGATAAGGATAAGTATATCACAGTAAATAGTCAAACACATTTCGGACAATTTTGTTATTGTATAGAAATAAATAGGCAATATCTAGCAAACACACTATTTCTTTTTTTTTTTTTTAGATATGTAGAATAAAATGGCGCTATCAAATCTCTGCGAGCAGCATTACTATCGTATTTCGCGTGAATGGCGCGCGTTCTCATAAAGAACGTGATTTAATAATTTCCTTTTCTTGCTGTTCGAAAGGTGTTTTATTATAAATGTTAATGCCTCGTGATTAGTCCTAAGAAAAGTTCGTGTATGTGTGTGTCAGATCTCTTCTCCCTGCTTGCTTTTCCGTGTCAGTTTTTATCAACCTTTTCTTTATCTCTTCGTTCTTAACATGCATCGTCGGCAAGTAGTCATTCGGAATGATCTTTTATGGAGAAAGTCTGAATACGGAAATGCCGGCACATTTGACGTACCTGTAATTACAAAACCGATCATGTTGACATGACAGAAAGAATGTCATATAAATTATAAAAATAAAATAAATAACAATTATCATTAATTGCAGATTTCTTTCTAAATATATATAATTGAAAATACATTAATATTACATAATTATAATCGTAACACGTCATTAAACTTACCACACAAGTGCCATAATGAACATGTGACACCAGGGCCACTACAGAAACTAAATACATAATTTCCAAATCTATGCTTGGCAAGATAAATGAAAAAACAGCGGCCACTGCGATTGGCAATAGTAACCACGGTAGTATCTCACATCTAGTATTACTCATTTGTGATACGATCAATCGACACTGCAATATAAACATTGTTTACATGAATACAATGAATATTCAAAGAAACAAAAAAATTACTAAGTTAAATATATCTATGCATCTCTTACGCATATATTAGAAAAAATAGTGCCGATGGCAAAGTATATTATTCTCGGATCTTTTTCTAGAATATTGTTTGGAGAGTGCATTATCCAGAATGTGGAAATTATAAAGAACAAAACTAAAGGCACTAAAGGCCTTACAGCCTCTGGAAACGTCCGCATTTTTCCGGTCTTATCTCTATATGACCTGCAACATAATTCAAAAGATAATTATGTTAACGTAAAGCTTTTTATTCAAACTTTGTTTTAAATAAAATGAGCTTTTTAAAAAGAATTATAAGAGAGAAATAGATAATTGAATATAGAATATTTTTTATCAATATTTATTAATTATCATTAACAGAAAAAAAATTTCGTATCATTTCGTTTTTATCCAACAAATATTTTAGTAACAATAATTTTTAAAAATGTATTATTTATTACAACGATAAAATGACACTCACTTGTATATATTCCAAATAACGACTGGTAAGTTGGACACAAGCGCACTAACATACAATAACATTTCAAACATCATTCCCGCCGATATACCACCTGGCAATTCAAATTTCCAGGCTTCGTGTCCACCTATGCTGGTAAGTGTAAATACAATAACGGTTGCCTATAAAATCAATAAAAGGTTAATGTAAATTGGCAGAGATTGATGAAATAATAAAAGTCAATTAGTAATATGAAAAAAATATTATTTTACATTAAAAATCATATATCTGAGCAAACTTACCAGCATGGAAGCATCATATCCCCAGGGAAGAAACAGTACACCTGTGTTATACTTCTCCCAATGACTTAGATAGAAATTAATGAATACATTCCACAGTATAAAGTACATTCGTAGCGGCGAGACGCTGTGATCTGTTCTGCCGAAGACTGAGTACATACACACTGTGATCAACATGGCAGTCCAACTATCTAAACCATGATCAAATAGTTCCCCTAAGGGACCGGACGTTTGTGTGCGTCTTGCCTGTTTACCATCTATCCCATCTGCAATATAAACAAAATTAAGTTATTGTTCAAGAAACTGTATACATATATATATATATACTACAATAAAATTTTTATATATATTTCTCTCAATAAAATTATGTTTATTATTTTCTCATCCATATTGCTTAATATATAAATTTATTATTCTGTTTTATGTAAGTTCGTGTGCCTATTCAAATGCAAAAGATAAATTTTTCATAATTTGCGAAAATATTATCTTAATTATTATAACATATATATATTTATATATATATATACACTCTATAACAAGGTATCTCGAAATTCACTCAAAATACTAATAGCAAGAAAATTCTCGAAAAATTAAGTTAATGTAAAAACATTAATTACAAATTTTAATTTTAATTTCGAAGATAATAAAGGTATTAATATAACTAATTACAGACTACGTTTATAAGCCATCTACTTATGAACAATATTATCTAAAAAGCAACTCATTACTCATAAGTGAAATAGTCTATAATTAATATATAAACATCTGTATTCCAAAAATTATTGTTCAAAATAAAAATTTATAAACAATTTTTTTACTTATTTTTCCAAGAACTGTCTTGTTATTATTTTGAGTCGCGAGTTTTGAGATAGTTGTGTGTGTGTGTGCGTGTGCGTGTGTGTGTGTGTGCGCGCGTATAAGTATGCATATACATGTATACTCAATATATCAAGATAAAAACTTCTGAAAATACGCAAAGAAAAAAAAATCACATAGATGATTAATATTAGTTCATTTAACAAACATATGTACATAATTATTCAATAAAATATACGTATGATACTCTTATTATTGATATACGTATACTTTTACACCCTTAACTTCTACATGTTAATATTAAAATTATATATCAAGCACCAAATGCACGTACCAAGCGTATATGCCATAAAAATGTTAAAAGCAGCCATGGCAAAGACCCATCGTGATATTGGAGGGTATTCCGGCTTGTCGTCACTGGACGCATAGAAGTAGTAGTCATAAATCGCAAATAGCATAAAGTTTAGCACGGTAAAAAGGAATCCAGAGAAAGTTAGTACATTTGGAGCAATCCACTTTGGACAATACTAAAACACAAGATGGAATGATTATTTTATAATAAAAATACTATATAAAAAAACTATTTTGTTCTACTGTAGCTCTACAAAATACATGGATAAAAAGAAGTATCTTATTAACATAACAATTGTTCCATCACTGAAGCAGAGATTATACCTGTACTATTTTATTCCAAAAGGGATGCATAACATACACGCTCAGGGGACTTGTGTCCAAGGAGCTATACTGAAATCATAACATATTCAAAATAAACAATACAGCTAAACATTGAGAGAGCAAAAAATATTATTTCAATTATTTCAATAAAGTTATATGTGTATTGGGAAAAATTAAATATAAAATATAAAATAATTTTATGAATTATTGTATACACATGTTATAATTGCATGTATATTATAAAACGCGTGACATATATTTATATATATTCATAATTTCTTCAAATCAATAATCGGTACGTATGAAAAGTATATTCAAAATCAGACCTCTCACCTTGTAACTCTCAAACCCCGTGAGGTGCTCATCCGTCAGGTACTCCACCTCGAACTTCAGCTTACGATACATCTTGGAATCTCAGGAATCTTAACTATCTTACGAATCTAATGTCGTTAACTCTGGGAATCGTTAACCACGCGTTTACGCGATGGGAGAGGCGCCGGGCGGTGGGCGCCAATAACGCGCGAGCCTCGAGAGATCTCCGGTGAACTCCGGCCTTTCACGAGGATATCTCTTTCCTTATTTGTACCGTACGCAAAATCGTCTATCACGTCGGCTCATCGTGGCATCGGTCGTACCTGCGGTATTTTCACAACGAACAAGCGAAACTCCAGCTCGGCAGCCACCTACAATTGCCGATTTCCACTCGGGAAACGAGGCGCAGATCTATCGCGCGTCTGACCGTTGCACGACGAGTCACCTCACCCTCACCACTCCTCACGAATACTCACGATTCACGATTTACAATTACGCACGTATTACGTATGCACGCGTATCGGGTGATCCCGGCACGTCGTTGTTCATTGTCACCTCACAGACCACACCACCGCACACAACGAATGCGCGACGTGCTGGACGTGCATTCCCACGTTAGAAGAGAGTTCAAGAGAGGAGCGCGCGCGCGGCGCCGGCTGATTGTTCATTTGTTCCCTTCGTTCATTCTCGATCGTCCACGCGCTTGCTGTTTCAGCGGTTGAGATGGAAAAGAGACATGCTTTAACGATTGAGCTTGATAATACAGAGCCGTGCATTTACGTGTGTAAAATAGAATGATCTACGACCGGTATTCGTAGTCAGATTATAACTTTACTGGGCCTTCTATAATTCTACAATGATAAGCCATTAGTCATAAATTAGAAGTCAGAAGCTAAAAATTGACGATTGTGAATTTTTAGCTTCTAATTTCTAATTTATGACTAATGACTTATTGTAGAATTATAAGGAATTATAGAAGGCCCAAGGCCTTCTATAATTCTACATAATACCCCATTAGCCATAAATCAGAAATCGGAAGCTAAAAATTGACCAATCACAGTCGTCAATTTTTAATTTATGATTAATGGCTAATTATTGTAGAAGGCCCATATAAAGACCGTCTCAAGTATGTACATACATTTTTAAGATGTCACAAGTCAATCACAAAACCGTTCAAGAAACATTTTTTTTTCAAGTAAATATTTTTCTAATTATTTTCAGATTTAAAGCTTTTAATTCCACTTG